GCTGGTTTCTGCAATTCTGCTGCTCTCCAGAAGATGGCAATCATCACCTTCTCCAGAGGACTAGTTCCCTAGCAGCTGGTTCCCTAGCAGTCCTTATAAAAAAAAGAATAACTCTGGAGATTTCTATTCTTGGTCAAATGTGTCTATAGCTCAGAATACACCTGTGGGTCAGGATGCCTCTATTCTTTTGAAGTAATAGGACCTATGTCCCATAGCCAAAACCTTTTTAATCTAAGATTCTCTGAGGGTGCTAGAGGAATGATCTTTTTTTGCATAATTCAAACATTTGTTTTCCCCCAACTCCATGCAGACTTAGGTGAATCAATCCTCTCTCCCCTAATACCCAGGTGGTCTCCCTCATGCTTGCACCAGCACTTCCCAAGGTGTTTTGTTTTTAAAAAGACACTTCTTTTTTCTTGTTTGTTTTTCCCTTCTTACCTCTTTTACTAAGATAGCTGGTCCAGGTTTTTAAATACCTTGTGGCAAATTTGAGAAAAATCTTCAAAAGGAAGGGAAAAAAGTAGAGCCAGCTGCTTATGGGGAAGAAGACAGGTAATTGATTTTGTAGTTTCTGCTACACAGTTTTGTGTGTGTGTGTGTGTGTGTGTGTGTGTGTGTGTAAGTGTAGGTATTGATAACACTTACACATATAACTATAATACGCTGTAATACTTGATAATGCGTTCAAGAGACAAAATGCTATGTGAGACAAATCCTCATATGACACGGTACCTAGTCCCTTGCCCAGACTGTGCCATCCTCTTCTGGATGTGCTGTAGCTTCATATCTCACTATATCTATTATCTCATCATTGTGGGTACTCCCTTTAGTGGTAAAGATTACAACTCATCCGTGATTTCTCATCCAGTGCTACTCTTGTTTATATCGTTTCTAAAACATATTGCCCAGAATTCAGTTTCTTCATCTGTACCTGGTTTAATAGTATCTACCTTGCATATTTCACTGGGATGTTGTAAGAATCAAATGAAACAATGGAGATGAAAGCACTACATATAGTGGTTTTTATTTAATTTCTTATTGTCAAAGGAATCCTTAATATAATTGTGTTTAGTTCTGGCTACCACATTAAAAAAAAAGGACACTGGAAATCTGGAGAGCATCCAGACAAGGGCAAAAGGTAGCAAAGGGTCTCAAAATCATGTTACCCAAGCATCAGTTGAAGCAACTGGGGATGCTTACACAAAAGGACTTATGACAGACATGACAGCTATCTTTATTTTTTTTTAATTCTTATTTTCAGTTCCAAATTCTTTCCCTTTCTCCACCCTCTCCCCTGCTACCTAATGAGATGATAAGAATTACAATACTCATTATACATATGAAGTCATGCAAAACATATGTCCACATTAGCCATGTTGTGAATAAAAAAGAAGCAAGAGAAAAAATATGCTTTGATATGTACTTGGAGTCCATCAGTTCTCTATCTAGAGGTGCATAGCATTTTTCATCAAGATTCCTTTGAAATTGTCGTGGGTCATTGTATTGATCAGATTTGCGGAGCATGACAGCTATCTTCAAGGTCTCTGGGGAGAATGGACCCAAGCATATAGTAAAATGATAGTGAGGCAAATGAGTAGAGAGAACATATGTGGTAAATGGGTATCCAACAACTCCTGGTTACTGTAAATCTTTTTCTCCCTTTGCAGAGTCTCCATGAACTTCCCCTTAGGTGAAGCTCTGTGCTGGGTTCTGAGAGTTGGGGTCACTGTAGGGTCCATAGTTGATTCTCTGTCACAAGGGATTAATGGCCAGTACTACTGTGGCCGCCATTGCTTCCAGCTCTGTTGGTCTCTGCTGGTTATCAGTTAGACTTCTGATGGAACCTCAGGATTTCCAGAATGCCCACAGTCTGGGGGTAGTGGAGGGGAGGGGGAAGAGAGAGATGAAATACAGATAGACAGGGACAGAGCCAGAGAGAGAGACAGGAGGAAGGAGAGAGGGTGGGACATAAAGGGAGGGAATGTGGAAAAGAGAGAAAGACACACACACTCACACACACATACACACACATACACACACACACAGAACCCCATTCCAGACACACTCCATCTTGTCGTTGTGCCCTCTAAAATGCAGTACCTAGACTTGAACACAATATTCCAGATGTGGCCTGAGCAGGGCACAGGATTGAAGCCATCTTTAAGGGAGACCTGCCACACTGTCTCCAACTTACAATCTAGCTGGGGAGACAGCATACATGCAGATAGGGTTGTGGAAGGGAATTCTAGCTTAGATGGGCCAGAATAGTCTCTGAGGGTCTTTCACTGTCTTACGCAGTGGATAGAGCACTGGCCCTGGAGTCAGGAGGACCTGAGTTTAAATCCGGCCTCAGACACATGATACTCACTAGCTGTGTGACCCTGGGCAAGTCATTTAACCCCAATTGCCTCACCAAAAAAAAAAAAAATTTAAAGTGAAAAAAAAAAATTGGAGCAGCTAGGTGGTACAGTGAATAGAGCTCTGACCTTAGAATCAGGAAGACCTGAGTTCAAATGCAGTCTCAGACACATGACACCTACTAGCTGGGTGACCCTGGGCAAGTCACTTAACCCTGATTGCCTTACCAAAAAAAAGCCAAAAAAAAGGAGTTTGCAGTCTAATGAGGGAGACAACGAGCAAATAAATATATATACAAAGTGAGTTATATACAGAATAAAAGGAAATAATGAAAAGAGAGAAGGCAGTGGAATTTAAGAGAGGTTGGGGAAGGATTCCTCAAAAAGGTGGGATTTTAGTTGAGACTTCAACTAAGGTATGAGGTTCCATGGTTCTGTGAAATTGGGACCATTTCCTTGAATGACTAATTTTTTTTTTTTGGATTTGCCAGGCAATTGAGGTTAAGTGACTTGCCTGAAGGTCACACAACTGAGTGTCAAATGTCTGATGACACACCTCACTACACCTAACTGCCCCTCCTTATGTAACTCTTAAGATTCCTTCCCAGCTCTTGGATTCTATCATTTAGGCTGGATGAGGCTGACATATACAGGGATTCCATAGTCCCTCTCATAATAGTTCACATTTTTTTTCTGGTGATTAAAAAATTCTCTCAATATACTTAAAATATTTTTATTGATATCATCTGTTTATCATATCACTATTTCTCTCTCCCTTCCCCTCTCAGAGAGCCATTCCAAATAACAAATATCTTTAAAGAAAAAAATAGGAAGAGGAAAAAATTGTCAAAAACAATCAAAAGACAGAAAAAGTCTGAAAATACATGCAATGTTTCACACTTATGGATCTCCCACTTCTGAAAAAGGAGCAGGGTGGAAGTGTCTTCTCATACCTTGGGGGTCATGCTTGTTCTTTGTAATTTTGTAATATTCACTTTTAATTTTTGTGGTTCTTTCCATTTGCATTACTGTTGTCATTATGTATATTCAATTCGATTAAATTAAATACACATTTATTAAGCACCTACTATGTGCTAGGCACTTTACTAAGTACTGGGGATACAAATAAGGGGAAAAACAGTTCCTGCCCTCAAGGAGCTTACAATTTAATGGGGAGGACAACACACAAAAGGAAGTTAGAAAGGGGGTATAGAGGAAGTGCCACCAGGTTTGTTTTTGTTTGTTTTTTTTTGGCAAGGGGGAGAGGCTGTGATTACTTTACTCTGAATCAGTTCATGCTTTCCATAAACTTTTTTTCATGCCCTTCCAAGCTTCTCTATTGATCATATTAGTAGTTTCTTTCGGCTCAATATTTCACTACATTCTCGTACCACAAGTTGCTTAGCCATTCCCCAATCTGTGGGCACCTACTTTGTTTCCAGTTTTTTGTTTTTGTTTTTGTTTTTGTTTTTTGGGGCTATCACAGAAAATGCTGCTGTAAATATTTTGGTGTATATGAGGTCTTCTTTCTTATCTGTGAGTTCGTTAAAGTATATGCCTAGTAATGAAATCCTGGACCAAAAGGTGTGGACATTTTATTTGCACCATTCCAAATTAAATAGTTCCTATTTCTATAGACCTTTGAAGTTTAGAAAGCACAGTCCTCACACAGACTCTGCTAGGGAGGCAGGGGCAGTACTATTACCCCAATTTTGCGCAGAAGAAGAGTGAAGCCTCCTTGCCCAGGGTCTCATAGCTTGTAAATATCAGAGATCAAACTTGCACGCAGGTCTTCAGATACCAGGGACAGTGCTTCCTTAAGCCACCCGCAAAGCAAGGTTATTAGGAAAGGCAAATGAAGAGGTGGTGGAAAGAGCACTAACCCAGGTCTTCTAGGTTCAAGTCCAGCCTCTGTCATTTCCTTCTGTACGATGTTGGGAAAGGCCCTTTCCCTCTCTGGTCCTCAGTTTCTTCTAATGTAAAACGAGGGTGCAGGACTACAGAGATGTTCTCAAAGGTCCCTTCCATCTGTAAAATTCTGTGGTCCCATCATAAGAGGCTACAAAGTAAGTTTGCAAGGGCTGGGGAATTGCATTAGTGGCTTTTCTTCCAAAGTTGTGTGGGGGAGGGGGTTGGGGCAGAGCGGAGCCACGTGACTCAGCAGGAACCCGGGTCTGAGACTCCGTGAAGGGACCGACTGACGGGGCGGGGGGGGGGGGAAGCGCAGGCGCAGGCGCAGGTCGTTTCTCGCTGCCCCCAGGCGGCCCCTCCCCGCTCTCGCCTTCCTGTCTCGGAGCGTTCTAATTCCCACCGTTGCCATGGGTGACAGAATTCCCCCGGGACTCCACCGGGAGGGCGAGGGGCCGAGCAGACCCGCCGAGACCGTTCCGACACCATGGAAACCGCCCACCCCCGCACTTCCATTGGCCCGAGGCCACCTCCATCCCAGCCATCGCCGCAGGCGATTGGGTGAGATCAAATTTTTGCCCTCCCCCACCCCCCCAGTCCTCCTTCCAGCGGTCACCTCCCAACCTTCCCCCCGGCACCCCGCCCCAGCCCCGCCCCCCCTCCCGGTAAGGGGAGTCAAGTGGGAGTGGAGGGCTGGAAAGAGGGCGGGAGCCACTGGAGGGGGTGGAGGGGGAGAGGAGGGACCCGATTGCCCGAACTGCCCGGCCCTGTGGGCTCCGGACCCTGCCCCTGGGTTGTGCACTTGCTTGCACTTGGCCGCGGCCCTGGGCGGTCGCTGCAGGTTGTCCTCCGCGGGACCCGGGCTGCTGGATGTCCCGGCGGCGTGGGCCGAGATGATCCTCGAGGAGAGCCCAGACGGCGAGGGAGAAGGCGACGATGGCTTCTTGCTTCAGCCTGCGGACGAGGGTAGCGTCCGAAAGGTGAGGGGGGCGTCCTGGGCTGGAGAGCCCAGCAGGTAACCCTTCTGGGGAAGCAAAATGCCAGTGCAGGGTTTCCCTTCGACACCCCAACCTCCAGCGAGGAGGGGGGGCGCCTATGACCTGGGCACTGGAAGGGGGCGAGGGTCCCTAGCTTTGCATCCCCTCCCCCCTTCTGCACACACAGGAGCCAGGGCGGGAGGTGGATTGGGGAGACCAGAAAGGAAGGTATTAGCACCAGTGACAGGTCTGGCGGGACCAACACCTGCTGCTTGAGACCTGTTGGCAGGGGTGAGGAGGTGGAGGAAAAGGAGGTAGAGCTGGCTGCTCCCTGAAGCCTGAGAACAGCCTTACTACGGGCTCCTCCCTCCAGCCCCCCCCCCCCCGCCCAAACCAAATGCATCTTTCTCTTCTCCTATTTCTATGACTGTCTCTGAGAATCTCCAGATGGTGCTGGGACCACCAAGTCCCTGGCCCCAGGTCAAGGCTGTGAGGGTGTTACTGACTAGTTTTGGAAAGAAGCCTCCAAGTGTATAGGGTATACTAGGAGATCAAGGAATCCCTCCTGGGGGAGCTGGATAGGATCCTAGAATACAAAATCTGGCAGAAGGGGCCTTAGAGCTTAGAGGGGCAGAGCTTCAAGGGGCTTTAGGACTTGGAGATATGGGGGACTCGGTGGGGTGGGAACAGCCTTTAGAACCATTTAGCCCATTGGTTAACAGATGAGAAAACTGAGGCCCAAAGAAGACAAAGAACTTGGCCATGGTCACAAAGAGTCCATTCTAAAGCTGAGAGTGGAACCCAGGACTCCTGGCTCCCGTTAAGCTATGAGAGAACTTTTATGGAAGCTCAGCACCTGTTACTGTGTTAGGTTTAGCAATTTCTGTATTGTCTGGCACTTTGTTACCAAATGTACTGCCTCTGGGAAGTCTTCTGGGGCTACCCTAGCCTGAAGACATGACTTCTTCCTCCCTTCCTAGTAGGCTTCCATCACTTGACCTTTCCCGTGGGATGCCTGGGACAGCTTTGTTGTAGCGGTGGTTGTCCTGAACTATTATTTGAAACTTTATTTTTTCTTTAACTTTTGAAAAGTTTCCTTGTTCTCATTCCTCTCTCTGGCCTCTCATAACCAGTTACCAGGTCTTGTTGATTCCACCTTCCCCAAATCTCTCACATCCCTCCATTCCCCCTACCACTCTCTTAGAGGCATTAGTTGCCACCATTGCATGGACCACTGCAGTGGCCTCATCTCTATTTTCTCCTCCCTCCAATCTATCCTTCTTACTGCTTCCGCAATACAATTCCTTATGTATCGATCAGGTCATGCTGCTACTCTGCTCAGAAATCTTCAGTCACTTTCAACGCCTTAATTCCTAGCCTTATCTCTGATGACTGTCTTGCAAAGGACTCTGCTTCAGCCTAAATGGGCTGCTCTCTTCCCCTCAAATGTGCTAGACTTTCTTACTGCCACATCTTTGCTCATGATGGTCCCCCTTTGTTAAATCCTTTCCTATCCTTTAAATCCCAGTTCAAAAACCACTTCCTCCAGGAAGCCTTTTCCTGATTTTCCTTGCAGGTAATAATGACCTTCCCCCCTTCTAACCTCTCCCAACAGGTCCATTGTACTTATGTACCATGTCTGTGTCTTTTCCTCTTACCAGACTGTGAGGTACATGAGGGTTGGGACCTGTCCTGTCTAAATTTTCTGTCATTTCTATAACAGTTTAAGATTCACAAAACACTTTCCTTTCCTGGGAAATAAGTAGCATATTATCTCCATTTTATAGACATGGAACCTGAGAGATGAAGTGCTTTGTTCAAGTTCACACAGCCAGTCAGTCAATAAGCATTTATTAAGTGCATACTATGTGCCAGGCACCCTGCTAAGCACTGGGGATACCAAAAGAAGCAAATTATAGTCCCTGCCTTCAAGGAAATGGCCTTATACATGGCCCTTTCCTGGCTAGAGAGTTTCTTGGATTGATCCTCTTATTATAATAATAACAACAACAACAGTAATAATAGCAGCAGAACATTTAAAGCTGGGGCTTTAAGTTTCCCTTGCTTTAATTTTAAAGCCCCCCCCCCCCCCAAAGCAATTTGTTATCTCAGTGGAAACCTCCCTGGGTTGGTGTGGAATTTACTGCTGTATATGTTTTCCTCATTGAGAAAACTTGTCGTTTGTCCTTCAATATGGAGAAGGAGCATTGACGAAATTGTCAGTGTCTGAGAAGTTAACTTGCCTAGGGCCTCAGCTAGCAAACATCTAGTGTGAGATTCAATCCACTTATTCCCTGACTCCTAATTTCCCTACTGAGTCTTATTGCTTCCTCCAAAGCCTAACAGGGTGCTTTGTACACAGCAGGTGACTGATAAATGTTTGCTGAATAAATGATCTGTTTATTAAGGCCTCCGCAGTACCAGGCTACATGTTAGATGCTGGAGATTAAAAAAAATGAACAATCTCTGTCCTCAAGGAGCTTACGTTCTGTTCTATTTGGGGAAAATGACATGTACGTGTCTGTGTATAAAATGTATACAAAGGAAATACAGGTAATTGTGTGTGTGTGTGTGTGTGTGTGTGTGTGTGTGTGTATAAATTTTTTTTTTTTGGTGGGGGAGGATCCAGCAGTACCTGGGTGGATCTGGAAAGGCCTGATGTAGAAAGTGGCATTTGAGCTTGAGCTGAGTTTTGAAGGAGGCTAGGGATTCTGAGAGGCAGAGTGGAGGATTCAGAGTCTCCCAGGCATGGAGGGTTTGTGTGAGATGACCATAAAAAGGCTGTTCAACTGGCTTGTAGAGTGTGTGAAGGGGAGTAATCAGTACACAATGAGTCTGGAAAGGTAGGCTGGAACTAGATGAGGAGTTAATATATCACTGTATTCCTTCCATGAACATTGATTAAGTGCTTACTGTATGTGTCCCAGTTTTAAGTATTCAGGGCTGTTTTAAGCCTAAGGCCGTAGAGGAAACTGCAAATAGCTTTTCCAGTGGTCTTGATGTTTTAGGTTGGTCTCAGCCTCAGATTCATTGGAACAAGAGAGCCTTGGCCCTGGAATCAGGGGAGCTGAGTTCTTGTCCCAGCTCTACCACTAATTTGCTGAATTAATGATCTTGATTTTCTCTCTTTGTCTCTGGGTCTTGATTTAGATGAACAAAAACACTTTCCATCACCTCTCTCCACTCTGAAAGACAGATAGATAGAGCATGTGTTTGTGTCCTGCTTTGACAGACAAGGAGACTGAGGTTCAAAGAGGAGAAGAGCCAGCCCTGGAACACAGGTCTTCATATTCTAAGTCCAGATCACCCTTCTGGGTGCTGTACCTTTTAAAATGGATTTAAAGAGAAGAGGAAGCGGCTGAGTCACAGGCTGAGAGCTCTCTGAGTGTTCCCAGGCGACTCAATGGAGCCATCTCCAGTTTCCACTCCCAGACTGGCTGGGGGCCCTGGCTATTGTTTCAATCAGGTGCTGCTAACTTGGACAGGCCACCTGCAGCCCTGTTCTGAGGGGATCTTGTAACACAAGGAAGCTATTTTCCCCATCTCTAGTGACAGAGCATAAATTCTCTTCCCAAATCCCATACTTTGTTAACCTTCTTAGGGTTCATCAAGTCATAGAATGTAGGCACTGGAAAGTCCCTTGGACTCAGGAAAGCCTAAGTCTCAGTGATTGGTCAAAAGATAGTGGGGAATAATAACCATAACATTACCTCTAGTTTCTATAGAATTTCACAGTTGACACCACTTACCTTTCAGCAATCCAGTGAGATAGATAGGTAGGACAAATATTCTTTCCGAGAAAACATGGAACATGCCTATGGTCATCCAGCTAGTAAATGTTGGAATTGGGACATGCATGCATCTAGGCCCAGTGCCCTGCCTCTTAATGGGAAGGCACTAGATTGCAGCTGGCTATGGAGTACAGAGTGCTGGATTTAAATTCAGAGGACCTAGATTCAAATCCTCTGCCTATATCACTAACCACCTGTGTGAGCAAGTCTCTTAAGGTTCCTCATCTGTAATGGTCAAGGGATTGGACAAGATGGACTTTGATGTCTCTTCCAGCTTTAAATCCGTGATCCCATGGCAGAAAGCTGAGGGCTGGGTGCTAAGGGCCAGGTGAGCAATGCAGACAGTTGAGTGTTGTTAAAAAAAAATTCAGAGGAGACAGGTGATTGAAGACTTCCTTGGAAGACATTAGTTGGGCCTCCATTTCACTTGTCATCTTTATTTACTTCCTGGTCTTCAAGGGGAGCCTTTGCACTTGTAATTTTGAATTTCCTCCTTTCTTCCAGAATGGAGTTGTCCTGAGTGTGGACAGGGACAGATGGTGCTGTTTGTATGTCCTTCCTTCTGGAAGAGGATCAGTGACATCAGGAGGGTGATGTCTTGACTTGGATTTGAATTGGATTTAAGTGAGGCAGAACTTTGCCAAGTCAATCAGCCTCCGTCTCTCTTCCAGTCATCGAAGTCCAGTGGCAGGACATTGGTCAGGACGACTGGCGATGGCCCTCAGGGTTGGGGGGTGGGGACAGATGGTACATTGAAAGATGAGGGGATGGACATGGTGGAGCCCCCAGGAGCTAGAATGCTACAGCTGAAACCTTCCCACCCCTCTTGAATGAGTAACCTCAAGGACAAAGCATGGAGGCAGCAAAATGGGATAGATTCCAGGAATGGTGTGTATCCATTTTAGTTGTATTGAAGGTGAGAAAGGAGAACTAAGACTGGAAAGATAGTTGTCAGATCCTGGAGGGATTTGGATGCCAGTCCGAATGGTATAGAATTTATCCTGTGGGCAATGGGGAGCCATGGGAGGGTTATGAGCTAAGGAGGGGTGCTGTTGGAGTTGGTATTTCATGACTATTTCTTGTGTGGAGCATGGAATGAATATGCAAAAGGCATTTATTTACGGCTTACTGTGTGCAAAGCACTGTGTTAAGTGTTAGAGATACAAAGAGAAAAATAAGACAATCCTTGCTCTCAAGGGGCTCACAGTCTAA